TATATCTTGACCATGAGTCATATAATGGGTATTTATTTTCCTGCTTGTACTGCCTTTCATAGAAAATCATTGCTCCTGGTCTGAACGCCGTTCGTACTATATATTATCGAATTTATGGATATTGCTTTATTCACGTTTTTTTTGTTAACGAAACTCAGATTTCTTTTATCGGAGGTTCATATGGCCTTCCTCTCTACGAAATGAAGTGCCTCTCTTCGGTGACTCCTGCGTCACGGGCGCACATTTGCGTTAGGAATTCTGAAATACCTTTTGATGAAGTGCCGAATATGCACAATGATGCGATAATAAATAATAACAATAATAATATTGAATAAAATGATAACAATAATATTAAATAAATAAATACATAAATAAATAAAATAGAAGGATCGAATGAATATTATCTTCATACTGCTCCGTTGCCGCTTACGACCGACAGGTCAGCGATTGTGAACTGAATCTTTATTCTGTTGGATGTGTTTTCCATTTGTGCATCGTACTCGGTTGAAATTTCCCGTGGATCTTGAGAGCTAATTCGATTTATTGAAATCAGAATGAATATCTTCCAGGTATGGACATTGCGTCGCGGGTGGTCTCAGCTATGTCACGGGTGGCCAACGAGACACCTGAGAGGACGAAAACTGCAAAAGTAGGAATGGTGGTCGACGTATCCGATGCAAAGTTTATCGGAGGACTCATTCCGTGTGAGTAGGTTGATAAAAGCGTTCACGATTACGGTAATAGGTTGCCACTCTAAGGATTGGAATGTGCCATATTCGGATAGCGAGGACGAAATTTAAAAGCCAGAGAGAATGGCAATTCTCACTTTCGAAAGATCGAGGGTGGCGAGTTTTCTAAACTTATTCTAAGGCTAGTTTTGAATTGACTGGATCATTCTGAGTAACTCACAGGGAAGCTCATCAATTTTTCTGTCGCTTATCTATTTCATCACCATATAACATCAGTTCTGCCTTTTTTTCGCATAAGTGGCCTAGCATATGGGGAGAGGAGAAGATTCACAAAGATCAAGAAGATTTATAACAACTACTGTGTAGGGTTCTTTCAAACAGAAGAAACTATCAGCTTCAAAAAAAGTCAAAGTCACGGGTACCCGTGAATCCCTCTTTGCACACCAGTTCTCGAGATTCAGATCAGATCTGTGATTTCCTTGTTATAATAATTTCATCTTACCTACTTTCATAGTTAAAGGCAAAGTTCGGGCTCAGACCCACCTAAGAAGCCCTTACCATGGCTAGAAGTGCTGGGTACGCAAGTGCAAAGGTAGCGCCACCTTTCTACATCGAAACGCGTCACTAGGACCCTAGGCGCCATGGACTTCTAACAGACTCCACCAAACTTAACATGGTCCGCCCACCGTTCGATATCTTGTCTGCGTCGCTGCGTTGATCTGCTATGCTCTCTCTTCTCGGACTTCTCTACCGCTCTCCGCGCTCACATTATCTCTCATCTCCCTGCCTGTCTTTTGAACTTCTCCACAGCATAGAGCAATGCTTGTAGTATTTCCTGTGTCTTCAGGA